AGATATCCAACGACGGGCCCCTGCGCAAGTACGCGATACGTCATAACAATATAATGCGCGAGCAGAGATCGCGAAAAGGGAGGTCGATCGTCGAATGAGGACAACGTAGATGGACGTTCTTTAGGAGAAAATATTGTATATTTGGCAATCTTCTACAGACCGTCCCTCCCCCCCACCAGGCCTCGGCGATCCGCGTAAATCATTCGACGCGCGCGAACACCACTCGAAGCCATCAAAAATATTATATATTTCTCTGTTTCCCTCTAGGATCTATCGATCCATCGACTCTCCGTTGACGTGCTTCGAACGAATTGTCGTCTGTGTGAAAAATTGTGCGACGACCGTTCGGCGAAACCGCTACACACGCGTACCACACGTGAACGCGTGGAAAACGCGAAAAGGAACGCCACCACTGTGTCTACCACCGTCCTCACTCAACGATTAATGCGACGACGAATACAGTAGTTGTTTAGTTGAAGTGACGCGTCAAAGGTAGGTACACACCGGTACGTACTTACATATGCATCTCCTCCCCGATCCAGCGCGATCAACAAGAAGGTAAAACGGCCGTCCTAGGTAAACGAAATCGATCGGTCGGTCGATCGGCGTGCAGACGACCAGCCAGTGTTCACCTGAACGTACCGTGGCCAACGATGGCCACCAGAATGGCCGATGATATCAGGAGAAACGGTACCGATCTGGTAGAGGAACTTCCGCCGGTTGGGCCGTCACTGCTCCGTGACACTTTGCTGCGCACCAATTGTCCACGTTCGACGGCGTTTGTCTCGTCGCTGTCTGGATCCACCGGTGCGCCGATGTCCTCGTCCTCGCTGAGCAACATCGACAGTTTGTTCCTCAGAGGTTTCTTCGAGCAGGGCAGGTTGACCTCCTCGTACGGCCTGAGAATCCTGGGATAGTGAACCTCCAGACTGTCGGTGCCTGGCAGCGCCCCCTTGCTCGTCCAGCAAAGCGGTTTGAACGTGCCGCCTCGAGTAGCTTCTTGAAAGCTCTGGAAGCTAGTCTCCCAGTCGTAGCTGAGCAAACGTTCCTCCAACGTCATTCCGGACAACTTTTGCGGTTCTTGAATCTTTACCGGGCTGGAACCCCTGCAACAGAGAAAGGACAGAGCACGTGAAGACTCGTCTCTCTACGCTCGACTCGGTTCCACGACCTATATATTCGTTACGGCGACGAAGTTTCAAGAA